TTAAAAAAAAAAAAAAACATGGCAGCAAAATGACTGGCTTAAAAAATATATAAATTTTAATTTTGTAAAGTTTACTTTGTTTTCCTTATATTTCATGCGATAAATTCTACCTTAGTTTCTAAATTGGAAATGTTTTTTAAATTCATCAATTATTAATCATTAATCTAATACTTTTTCGCGTAAACTGAAAAAAAAGTAAAGTGGGAAAATTTGACAAAGAAAAAAAATTTTTTAAAATAGTGTAATTGTAAAAAATATAAATATAACTTAACAAATGTAAAGAAAAATTTAAAAAAATAATGCAATTGTAAAGAATACGTGCATAAAAGATATGAGCATGAATACGTGGTTCACCTTTTTTCTTTTAATATTTTTCTCTAATTTAATAATTTCAATCATCAAAAAAATATTGCTTGTTAGTAGTTGCGTAAATATGTATATCATCAAACAAATAAACTTACATTCAGTCTTAACTTAAGTAGAAATAAATTATGCATTACGTCAAACTTTTACGGTGACTTGTTACTGGACGCTATTACTAGATTGCGAATGTTCGTGCAATTTCATACTTTTATAAACTTAACTAAAAAAAAATGAGATCTAAATAGAGATCTATTTTATTTATTAAACCCTTGCCTAGCCAACTTTAGATCACCTTGAGATTATACAATATATTATAAAATAACATAACATACCTAATAAAACATAATATTTTTGTTATTATAAATTATAAGCGAATTTTTATGCATATATTTTAAATTTTTATGAATATCTATGAAGATGGAATCTAAATTTATTAACTATCATAATATTTTATTTATTTATTTATTATCATTCTGGATATTTTATAGTGTTATATAACATGCATTGTGTGCATTTCTGCATCTCCAAATTTCACATAAATGTATAAAAATTTGCAGAATCTAATTATGAGCATCGTTACATGATATTTAATATTAAATAAAACTTCAACTTCAAAGTTGATATAATAAAAGCTACATTATTATGCTTTGGATTTTACATACTTCTACATAGGCTTGTACGTGAACTTTCGAAATTTTTAGTTTTCTACAAATGCGTAAACATTCGCAGTCTAGCTGTTAGAGAAAATACATGGTTGCATCTATTTAATACTTGGCAAAATAATTTACATGATAAACTCTACGAAAACGAGTTCTGCGACTTTTAAAAAGTTTGATTCGACTACTCTTCTTTTTTCCTTTTAATAAAATGCATACGAAACTACATGTCTATCGCTAATATTTGCTCAACTTTCGTGACCTAAACCTTAACGTTAATGTTTAAGTACTACCATTATATATGTACATGTCCTACCAACGATTTTATTTTCTCAGTCACAGTTTTTAGAAGCTTCTCGGACGCAAAATACATATTTTTCGTACGAGTTGCACAGTCGATAGCGACGATTAAAGGTCAATTGAGTATGGAAATCTTGAAGACAGACAAGGTCATACGACGATTAAACGTATCTGGTCAATTGAGTATGAAAATCTTGAAGACAGACAATCAGCTGACTGAATGTCGGTCTTTCGTCTGCGGACATTGCCCAACAATAGGCCATAACAGCGAACAGCTCATCGGGACAATTTATTGGTTGTGCTAATCTATATCCATCTCTGAGGTATGAGGCCATTTCAAACGCGTCCACTTCCACGTATGGTTGCTGGGCTAACGTCGTCAGTTCCCATAATAATACTCCGAATGCCCACTGAAATATCGATAAAAGTATATCTATTAAGTTTTTCATTTTAGAAGCAAATCAGTGTAAATTCTCACTGGAACTTGCGCTACGTAACATACTTTTCTTATCAAAATCCTCAGCCCATGGAACAGTTTATATTATTACACTATAATGACCATTTTATAATAATCATAATGTCCTTCAGTGATTAATGGACTAAGCTTGGCAATTGCCCAACAAAATTTGATCAATTTAATTATGTAACTTTTTGAGGAAAAACAATGTAATATATTTAAATAATTAAATTCGCATCAAATTCAGTTGATCGAGATGGAATAAAATAAATCAAAGTAAAATTTAATTAAAATTAAAATTCAAGTTACTGAATCTACTTCATTTCTTACTGTCGTATGCACAAACGAAAATATTCTCGCTGGTATTAGGCTGATAAAAAAAAAAAAAAAAATATTCTCAAGCAGGACCGATTTTACTCACCACATCAGAAGCAGTGCTGAATGTTTTATTAAGCAAGCTTTCAATGGCCAGCCACTTTATCGGGCGATTCTCGTTGTCGCCGAGGCAATGATAATCTTGTGGAAACAGGTCCCTGGCTAAAGCGTTGTCCGTGATTTGAACCCTCAGATCATCGTCAACGCTAATAAAATGCAGCATTGATCGTTAAACGTTCTCGAGACGATACCGCCGCTAATATAAACGTTAAAGGCGCGAGGTATAAGAGCAAATAAACTAAACGTGGCTCGGTTTAAATTCGGACGCTGATTCACGTAGGGATGCAAGAAAAGGATTTACCAGGAGAGAGTATTAAAATCATCTTCACGAGAGGAAACACTAGCGGCCAGTAATTAAAGCAGCATCGTATTTATTGCTAATTAATGCCGCACGGCCAATTAATTTCGTAACGAAACGTAACGACCATAACTTTACGACGCTTCAACCGATGCTCCGCTAAAATAGTCAGTACGTTGTAGTATTTGTTATAAAAGGTCGGCTTTATGCTTGGGCAAAAATTGAAGAAATAGGAACAATTAAATTCTCTTTTAATTAGATAATCGTGAACATTTTCAAATACATGAGATGTGTATGTAAATATTTATCTTGCATATCAAAACATTGGAAAATGTTAGAGTTTTAAGAAAAATAATAATTCTATTAGGTAAATAAATACTTTTGTTTGTAATGCTAACATTTCAAAATATTTAAATTTTTTCGCATATTTTAATTACAAGTTACAATTCTAAATATTAAAAATACTTACATCTATAATAGCAGTCAGAAGATATCATGATATAATATACTTCTATAAATTTAATAATAACTCCATTTTAAAATGTACACTATTCAAATTAATATTTGAAGTTCATATTGATCTTGTTTAAATTCAACAAATATAATTAATTATTCGAATTAGTTATTCATGCGTATTAATGTTAACATGCTTTAACTTTCAAAATTTGCCATAAATCAAAATCTAATGGAGTGACATCAGAAGATTTTACAGTTGTAATTTGAATTATAGAAATATATATTGTGACATCTTTTGACTATTAAATCTTGATCTACTCACATAGTCTAACTCATTTCGTATATCATTCTTTTGCCATAACTCTCATTTCATTGTCTTGCAACACAACTTGAAAGAAAAAAACATGATTATCGAGTTATCACTATAAAAATATTGCAGAAACACTCTTTTATCAATTATAAAAAATTTCATTTATTGATTTTCATAATTTGACAGGTAAAAAAATTATGTTGCTCTTCTTGATTCGTGTGACACTGTATTGTAGAAATATTTTTTCTTGTGAACATATATTAGTAACAAATATATTATTTTGAATTACGTTGTTTCTTTAATATCTAATTTTGTCCAAAACCAGATTATTTTCCTAATAACATATTTTTTCAAGTTGTGTTACATTCGCAAAAATGTGATATGTTTATCTGTATACATTTTTTTTAATTTTGATTCATAAAATAAGCTAATAACATTTCGTTGGAAAAATATTAAGACATCTTATATTTAGAATTGTAATAAAATATTCGAAAAAAATTTGTCTCATCCAACAAGCAAAATATGCTCTGAAATTTCTGAAAAACGGAAGTGCATGTATGTGTGAAGTGCAAAAAGTGAAAATGTTTAGTCAGAAGTAAAACGTTAAATAATTTTCTTTACTTACACGCAATTCCTGGCGGCCAAGTCTCTGTGCACTAGTCTTTTTCTATGAAGATACTGGACCCCTTTGGCAGCTTGAAGGGCCATTTCCACAACTTCTTGCGTAGTGAGTGCTCTCGGTGGCCCTTCGCTGCTCAACTTACACCTTAGCAAGAACCTCTTCATGTTCTTGTAACCGGTGTGCGGATACAAGAGAAAAGGCGCGCTTCTATCTTCGATGGAGACACCCAAAACAGGCAGCAACGCTGGATGACTCAAACCGTATAATGCCAAACCTTCTCGCAATAAAAGGGCAACCTTCGACAACAAACAATGAACAACTTGATGAAATTAAGAACGTAATTATCAATCGATATGAAAATTTAAATAGATTGCGAATTCTTATGCATGTAATTTAAAATTGCAAAATTGAATAGAATATATATATATATATATAATTTAATTGAATTTAATAAATATACGATTTAATTTAATTTTCCTTCTAAAGTATATTATAGGAGATTATGTATTTAGTATATAATAGAAAATATATCTGTTTTTTCTCTTACATAGTTAAAAAAATGCAGGGATTAACATATAGCTAATATTAAAATAAACTATGTGTGAAATCCAAATAGTGGAAGCCTATTGAGCGTATATTACATATTTAAAATTAGCCATATGAATAATTTCAAATACAATAAAGAGTTCAATTAGTTATAAAATTGTAAAATGTATAAGAATATAAAATTAATGTGAAAATATTTAACAATTGTATAGAATCAATGATATATATATTTCAATGTAATGTAAACATTAATGTAAAAATATATAACAAACGTAGGTGTGATATCAATCATAAATTGCGTAAAGAACAATAAACGATTCAATTAAATATAAAATAGTAAATTGTATAAAACGTACTCCAACATATAACTCTAAACAGTATAACAATAAAATTATCATAAGAAAATATTTTAAACATTTCATCTTCAATCTACAACTGTTGAATTGGTTTTAAATTATACTTTCTGTATCACGTGCGATTATGTTCACATACATTATATACATGAAACGAACAGGAAGTACGTGATAATTACACGATGATACCGCTCAAAACTAATTGCTAGTGAGTTAAGAGAAAACTTGGGATAATTTCATTAATAATGTTGAAAGAGCACAAGCTAATTGACGGACAAAGGAAAAAATGCTTACTTGCGATTGTGATGCATGTTCAGCGGCAGTTTTCACTAGGACATCCCTCGGGGAGGACGCACCCTCCTCGTGATAACTGCCTCTATACACGCGACCGAATGTGCCTTCCATTTCGATGCTGAGAAGGCGTACCCTGCATCTGTAACAAGTGCGAAACATGATTACTCTGGGATTCGTGACTGCACATCAGCCAAACCGATAATTATTTCGTACAGAATCTGAAGTCCTTCTTTACAAAATTATTGGGAGGCCGAAAACGATCGGTCGAGTATCGAAACGGAAGTACCCTGAATAATCGAAACAGGTTAGCATAAGTACTTTCGATACTTTTTCCATGTTCTTTTCTCTTTTTTTTTCTTTATCCTCAACAAATTACATACGGACGATGAATTTACCGCCGCGGTATTTTATTCTTTTAATTTATTATTAGATTTATTGGTGAATGTTACTATAATAAATATTTGTTTCATTTATTAGATTGGTGGTGGATGTAAAATATCGTTTCTTTAAAGAGTGACTTCGGAGCATTTATTAAATCTTCTTTTCTCGTTGACTGTGACTATATTTAAAAAAAAAAGAAATTAATTATAAATCACGATATCAAAATAATAATAAGAATACCTCCACGACAGAGATTTGTTTTAGTTCTTGGATTGATCTATAAGAAATATTGTTTCTTTATACTTTAATTTTGCTGCACTACCTATTAAATTATCTCTTATCGTTAATTATAACTATATTAAAGAAAAATTTTTCTATAAATCATGACATTATAATAATGAAGAGAGTAGTAACAAATATTTTGTTTCATTTGTTTTACACGAAATGTCATCTTTTTAAATATAATTTAAATTATTAAGTTTTTTCTTATAATTTTTATTATAGTAATAATATATATTTTTATTAATAATAACATATATTTATAATTATAATTATATTAAAAAGTGAGACTTCATTATTGTGATATTAATCTATAATTAAAATATTCATGCGATTTTCTTACATGATCTTAAATTTGAAAAAAATATCATTTGGGAAGAATTAAAATTTTTCATTCCTCAAGTAATTTTTCAACTTACAAATTATTTTAAAGAGTTTTATAAACGGAGAAATTATAACAGCTACGTTTTAAGACTTTTTTGAATTCTGACAATTTTTACTAATCTGGAATAATAAATGAAATAGTCGTTAATAACATATTGAATAACTAACTTAATATTAAATATTCTAAAGAATATATATTTTTACATATTATCTACATACTATTTTTCATCTTTAAATGTAGCAATTCGCAATTTGTTTATTATTAATATTTGCAGTATTTACAATACAAACATTGTTCGAATATTTATCATGAAATACAAATATAATTTTTATTAATATTTATAGCATTTAAATTTTCAATACATTTTAGTAAAAATATCTTTTTAATTCATAATTCATTATTTAAATTTTCAATTTATTTCAGCAAAAAAAAATTTAAATTCATTTCTCTATTCAATCTTTTAATTCAATCTCATAAATATTGCAGAAGTAAGACCAAAATTTGTTTACATTTGATAAAATAAATCTCTGGTGCTTTATTTTTAATTGATTAATTGTTGCAGTTTCTCTGATGTCTGAAATATACGTATAAATTTGCATACTATCGAAGTCTTTTATTTTATCATAAGAACCTGAGAAACCGGATTTTCTTTAATGCTTGCAATTACAGAATTCTTTTAAATCGTGACATTTATCCAATCTATTGACTAAGTTATAAATAAAGATAGTTACTTCATAAAACATTGAGTAATCTTATTAAATAATCTTCAATAATCTTATTAAATAAAGATGAATGAATGCGAGATATTTTATTCCACTAGTTATGTTTGAGCTACTTGATTCTTATTATGCTACATTTTAATTTATATTTATATTTCATTGTTGCATATGAAATGGCGAATTTTACAAACTATTATATAATTAAATATTATATAACTACATATTCAGAATTTAGTAACTAAATATGTTAATAATATTTATTAGACATCTATTTAAAACTTAAAACTTATCGGATACAAAAATATATTGTCAATTATTTTAAATTATCAATATTAATTAATTATATTTATTAGTTAAGTTAGGTATTAGAATGAGATATGAATGAAGATCGAATTCGAGTGTATTTTTTTATAAAACTTGTGATTTTGATATAATAAAATAAAATCGCTTGTATATATTAATTACTAATACAAATATTCAAACTACATTAAGCAAGTTAACTGGGAAACAAGTTGCCATTTATGTGAAATGCTTACATTGGAAAATATAAATGCAGAAAATGTACCAAAAAACAATAGTTAAATTAGAAAATATAAATATAGAAAATGGACCAAAAGACAATGTCAACAATGACTGACTAAAGATTTTAATTTTAACAATTATAATATTATTTTACAATGGTCAAAATATATTGATTCGAAATTGAATTGATATTTTCAGAAAGTCTATGATAATTTAAAATTGATAAGTTTTAAGAAATTTACAAGCACAAATTTTAAAATTTTTATTAATAATTTCGTATTACAACATTTTATCTACAACAACTTGGTGTTATTTTTGATTTCGATGTTTTATTTACCTTTGGACTGTAATTTCTTGGATTCTTTCGTGCAATTCTCGACTAGGTCGATCGTCTAGTCTTCTATAAGTAGAAGTGGATGTTGCAGAAGCAGGCGGTGGTGTTTCTGGCGATAAAA